CCTGGAACCTCAAAGGATTTCAACCATGCACTAGATAAAGAAAACAAGGAAGAAATAAGACAAATATTTACTTTGATACTGTAATTAATGCGGCTAGTTGATTCTCAGAAGCTTCAGGTCTGATTATAGTTGATTTATCGCAATAATCAACATTATTATTATGTCCCCATACATTTCTAAAATGACCTCAGAAGAAAAAAAACCCTAAAGATGGTGTACAAAACAGTGTTTCTGCTGTTACATGGAGAAATGTTGTTTCATCACCTCTTCAAACTATTCAGGAATTAAATATGCAGTGCTTGACTAATTTGTACTTCACTCAAACACTGTTGAAAATAAATATTGTTCTCTTTTTTTCTAGATATAATGGGTCTAGATCCGTCTCATCAGTCTCACACTGAGTGTTTGACCTAAAGCACAAATGCTTTTTAATTAAAGCCATTGATTGTTGGACTTGAGTTGACAATCCTTCGTGAAACAACTGCTGTTTAATTTAAAGCTGAACAACTTAAACAGGTTTCAGGATAGAAGTTCCAGTTCAACTACGTTTATGTAAATTAATTGAATGGGAAGACCTTAATGTATTCCAATTATTTGATATATATGTATTAATAATAATAATAATAATAATAATTTCAGTCAGTCATATTGACTTATATTACAAACTCACTACAAAACTAATTGTATACACACACACACACACACACACTAATAAAAAAGATATCAACTTGAAGATAAAATATAAGACAATATTTCCCCCTGCTGGCCATTATTAGAACTGCAAAACAAACTTCATGTCAAGGTGTGACCCACATTTAAAGTCATAGTTCCTCCAAATGGTCATTTCTATACAGTGTAAGTGAAAATAACTTTACTTGTCCCTTTATATGCTTGTATCAAACACTCACAACAATACAAAATTATAAAGGAAACGGAAAGTGCAAACATTTTACTCGTCGTTGTTGCAGTTATTGTTATTATATTGTTTATTAGCATTGTTATATCTATTTAGCAATTTGTGAAATAGTTTTTCTTAATATTTCATTGAGAGTAAATATAGGAGGGGAACTTCGACATTTAATTGGAAAGTCCTGAAGTGAAAGTGAACAAGAAATACGATTGGTCAGGCCAGTGTTAGTTTAACATCATTGAGAGACTGGCATAGTTTTTATTAATATTTTAAATTAGGTTTTATTTTATATTTTCTGTTGTCATTTTAAGTTTAGTTAAAGTTTTAGTAGTTTGTTGTGTTTTTGTCATTATCATTATTATTTGTGTTTATTAATTTAATAATTAGTTTTATAGTAGTAAAGTCAAACAATGAAAGTGTGAAATGTTTTCTTGGAAACTAGCTAAAATGAATAAATAAATATATATATTTTATTTGTCAATTAACATTTATTTCATTTCAAGTAACATTTTTTTTTCTAAAACAATTTTAGTAATTATTATTATTATTATCATTATTATTTCCATGTAATACTACTACACAATTGTAACACAGGGTATAATAATAATAATAATAATTGTTGTTGTTGTTGTTGTTATAATTATTATTCATTGTGTCAGCATTCTTATGATTGTCATTATTATTATACACTGTGTTAATAATAATGGCAATAATAATAATAAAAATAATAAATATACCCTGCATATTATGGATTATTATTAAACTCTGCGTTAGGATTATTGTTGTTGTTTCACTCCTCAGATAAATTAGCCTTTTAAATATTTTTTTATTTTTCATATTTTACGATTAAAAAAAAAAAAACAATAAAATGTCAATCAATTAAAAAAAAATGTAAGTATTATTTTTTGAAAATACATACATTAAAATATATAAATGTACATATATCCAAGTATTCATCCATCCATCATATAAGTTCAAGGACTAAAAGGAAGTGTTGGAGAACATTCTGTCTTAAAGCAATAATTCACCCCAAATAAAAATGACTAAAATGTAAAGCTATTTACTCATCACACACATTCACTTCATTTGTTTTCATGGAAGAAAAAAGGAGTTTTATTTCAGAATGTCCAGGCTGATCTTGAGCTGATTTTGGGGTGAACTGTTCAGATCAGATCCTGCAGGATTAGTGAGTCTCCAGCAGCTGGCAGCGCTGCCTGACTTTAGTTCAGCTGCTCATGGGACATCCGGAGGAGGATTTTTTAAAGCTCAGAATGAGACACAGAGGTCTGCAGGCTCTTCTGGCGGACGTGGAGCGGCGCTTCAATCCGTCCAGGTATGTGGGAGTTCTGGGACTGGAGGAGGAACAGGATTAAAGTTAAATTAAAACACTGATGATCTCAGATGACCCATTAATTCTGCAGCATGCGTCTGGGCTTTTGAGCTCAAGACCCCTGAAAAAAGCAAATATAATGAAACACACTGTGAGTCTTTCTGCTGCAATCTCTGACGGGTCAGGAGGGCACTGCGCTGACACACACTCCTGACAAGGCCTCACACACACACACACACACACACACACACACACACCTGACAAGGAATACATGTAAATTAATAATTATTAAAAAAAAAATATATATATGTATATGAATATAAAAAGTAAATATATATATATCTATATATATATATTTAAAATTATCTATCTATCTTTCTATCTATATAAAATGTAGAGTACAGTATTTTATTATTATTATATAGTATATTTATTTATTTACATTTTTACATTTAAATAATTTAAATACATTAAAAATGAATTTACATTTAAATAATTGCATATACAAAATTTAATATTTAATAAAAAGTTGTTAAATTAATTCTTCAATATTGAAATTTTTTTGAAATAAGTACATTTAAATTAATAAATATAAAAAAAAAAAAATTCATTTTTTATATCAGTCAATAAGTAAATATTTTGTAAATATTGTTTTAGTTATTTTTAATAAGTAAATGTAAATAAATAAATAAATAAATACATTTTAATAAAAAAACAATATTTTAAAAAATATGTTTAAATTATTAAAAAAAAAAACGTATGGAGAGATGAAAACCCTAAACTAAACAAAATTTAGATATGTTGCTTTGGCAGCTAACTGAAATATGAAGTTGAAGCACTAAAATTACTAACTAGAAATACTAAAAAGTAAAAGTAAATTAAACCTAAATACTAATATTAAAAAAAGCACATTAACAAAATTACTAATAATTGAACATTTTAACAAACAAATAAATGTGGACCATGTGCACAATTTCTCAGTTAAAGATGTTTGCCTCAAAAACACGGTGTCCAAAACTGAGCACCCACAGGCAATGATGGCATCATTCAGCAGCAGATGCCATGACTGACGGACAGCTCTCTCTCCAGCATTAGAAGCTCAGCCAGCAGATGCCCGCGGATGCTGTCACATTTCTGAGCATCTGCAGGTCTGTTGAGCTCATGATCGTGTTGTTGAGGTGCGTATGATCAGTGCAAGGATTCACATCACTGCTCGCCATCAAACACACTGACAGATCCAAGCGTTCAGCACAGAACATCTACGGCAAGCCGTTTCAACATTCAACCCAGAATCTATTCTCATGCTACGACTTACTTTTTAGACACTAGTATCTCTTCAATTAGCTACTAGAGCTTATTCATTAGATACAAGTACGTATTATTAGATGCTAGTACTTATTTATTACACACTAGGA